GGCACTGGACTCCCCTATGACTGACCATGCTTTGAGTCCTGGACCTGCTGGCTTGCTTTCTCACTTTGTTTCTCTCTGGTCAAATTTAAAAAAATAATAAAAACAACAAAATTAAATAATTCTTAAAAAAAAAAAAAAAACTAGATGTCTGTATCTTAAGATAGGTTGTCACTATAGCCTTGAGACTTAGACAATGAGACTTGAGGCCATTTATAAGCACCCTGAGTCTCAATATTCTAATCTGAAAACATCAAAATGGAATGAATAATAGCTTAGCTCTCATGCAAAGGTACTGGGGTCAGCTATAATTCTATTATTATCAAAATTAGACATATTCTTTTCTTCTTAGCTTTTGTTATAGAGAGTGTGTGCTTGCCAGAGGGACATAGAAAGAGAAGAAAAATGAGAAATCACCTGCCAGAGGGGATGACTATATCATAATCCCTTCTCTGCCAGTCTCCCCTCCGGATTTCGGGCATGCACTCACACATACCCAGCTTGATTTTTAAGGTGCCTGGACCAGGACTCAAACTACACACTTGGCCATGTGGGATCCAGCACCTCAACCTCCAAGCAATTTTCTGGTCCCATTACTTTTATTTTTTAATTGCCAGAGGACATGAGATAGAGAGAGAGAGAGAGAGAGAGAAATAAAGCAACACCCCCCACCCCCGCCACTAGGAGTAGCGACACCACAATCCCTTCTATTCCATTTCTCTATCCTTTTGAGATTTTGGACATACAGGCACTTGGTGTCCTTCTGAAGCTGCCAGGACTGGGACTCAAACCACAGTCAGCCACATGGGATCCAGCTCCCTTAGCCACTTGGCTACAGGGCCAGTCCAGCTCACTGCTTTTTTCTTTTTTCAAATATTTATTTATTTCCATTTGTTATGATTATTAATTTGACCAGAGAGAGACAGAGAGAGAGAGAGAGAGAGAGAGAGAAAGGAAAAGTAAGAAAGCAAGCCACCAGGTCCAGGACTCAAACCTTGGTTAGCCATGTGGGAGAATCCAGCACCTTTAAACACTGCACCACCTGCCGGCCCTCACTGCCTTTTTTTTTTTTTTTTTTAAAGTTTATTTATTTCTTCCATGAGAGAAACAGAGAGAGAAAGTGAAGAGAGAAAAAGAGAAACAAATAGCTGCAGCAGGGGGTGCCCCACCACAGTCCATGCTGCCAGCCAGCCCAGCCCGTGGGCATGTGCTGCCAATGTGCACAGGGAGGTCCTGGGACACTAATGTGGGACCCCACCCAGGCAAGTGCAGCCACACCGCCGTCTACCCCAGACATGTCCTGCTCACAGTGGATCATGAACAGCCCATCACGGCTCACGGGCTGTTTTCTGTCCCCTGTGGTCTGGCTACAGCTGCATGCTGCTCTTTCTACGTTCATGCCACTCTCATCAAGGACCTTCCGTACCTTCCTTAACCTCGCCCCACAGCCTCTTACTGTAACCTCTTCACTGCCTGTGAGGAAGCAGGGCTCGTTGGTGGTAAAGTCTCAATTAAAACCCGAGTATTAATGCAAATGAGACTGGTTGGACTGTACTGTATTGACAGCAGCACGTCTTATTCAGTTTTAGGGTGCTCTGGAATGGTTTTTAAATCTGAGTTTAGCTTCCCTTAACACCAAGTCTTCTCCTAGCCCTCCTACTGGTCAATTCATTATCATAAAATATTAATTATTTCATATGACTAAAATACTAATCCCGGAAAATTATTAAATAATCTCAATATTCTGCTTTTTTTTTTTTTAATATTTCCCTAAAGTGGAGATAAGAACTGGTCACCACAAGGCCTCCCCTGGAGCTAGGAGAGTTTAGGAGAAAGGACAGTAATAACAGGAAGCAGAAGCATGAAGACTGTGACTGCAGGCAGTAATATGTACAACTCCAGAAAAGAAAGGGATAGAATTCTAGTGTCCAAGGTCCAGCAGGTGGCCTGATGGTTAAGATGCTAGATTCACAGGGCCGGCAGGTGGCATGGTGGTTAAGGGCACTGGACTCCTACATGGCCGACAGCCGTTCGAGTCCTGGACCTGGCAGCTCGCTTTCTCACTTTCTCTCTCTCTCCCCCTCAGACACACATGTGCATGCACTCTGTCCCTCTCTGGTCAAAATGAAATGAAATAAATAAATAAAGTTAAACAAAAGAATTCTTTTTTAAAAATAAATAAATAAAAGATGCTGGATTCCCACATGGCTAACTGCTAGTCAAGTCCCAGACCTGGCAGCTTGAAAATCATGCTGGGTGCACGTGAGTGTATGCCCAAAATCCCAGGAGGAGAATGGAGGAGAGAAGAGAGTGGTGTGGTCATCCTCCCTGGGGGATTATTTCTCACGTTTCCTCTCTCTACCTCTGTTTCTCTCCAACTATGGCAAAACCTAAAGAAAAAAAAAAAAAACTAAAAAAGAAAAGAAAAAGAAAAAGAAAAAAGTATCTAGCTCTTTGTTCCTCCTCCCAGCCTTTATGAGGAGAGGTGTGTTTCTATAGGGTCTCACCAAGTTGCTATCCTTCTATCCCAGCTTTCAGTTAGCTAGGATTACAGGCACATGCAACCATGCTCAGTGTGCTCAGGCTGGCCTGGGTCTCCCGGGTAACTTCCGGTCTCCCAAAGGATGGCACTACCTGTACGCCACCAAAAGTAGGCCAGCTCTAAGCTTCTGAAGATAAAGGCTGTGTCTTTTAATCTGATGCACGAGGATATGTAGAGATGAGAATTTCATTAATGTTGGCTTCTCTGCAGAATCACCTTAGTCTTCAAAATAATGAAAACTAGAGATGGATAAGAGGACGTGATGTGTTGTTTCGTGAAAGAGCCAAAGTGTTTACCAAAGCGTAACCCTGAGGTCAGTGGGGAAGATTGAAAGCTTGTACCTCGTCATCTGTGAGACAGATGAGGTGCTGGGAAGAATGAAATGACATATGGATTGTCTATGAGCACCATTTGCTTCTGTTTGTTTGTTTGTTTGTTTGTTTTTAACATACAGGGTAGAAGAGTGTAGTAAGATTTGACATCAGCAAAGAAGATTCCAGCTATCTCTGTATCTGCCAAGTATCTGATCTTGTACAAAACATTCAAACACAAAAAATGATGTAAGAACTGAAGGGATCATACATGTACACAGGGTGGGAGAGGAGTCTTTGAAAATAAATAGCTATATAAATGTAAGATGTTTTCTAATATACCAAGTTAGGTAAACTAGAGCCTCATGTTCATTCTTTGGGAGGGGTGGAACTGAGGAATTCCTATAGCAAAAATACCATTCAGTTCATGGAAAATCATCTCCAGAGCCAGCCAGTGGCATGGTAGTTAGGGCAGCTGGATTCCACATGGCCAACTGTGTGGTTTGAGTCCCAGACCCGATGGAATGAAAAGTATGCCAGGCACACAGGTACATGAGTCTGTATGCCCAAAATCCTGAGAGGAGAATGAAGGAAAGGACCTCAGAGTGGCCATTCCCTCCTGGCAGTGTTTCCCACTTTGTCTCTTTCTCTCTCTCTCTAGTAAGTGGATGAGCCCTGTACCATATTAAAAAAAAAAAAAAAAAAAAGTCTTCTTTACCAGTTAACAGAGATATGAAAATAATAAAGTTATGGCCTTCATATTTTTTTTTCCTTTTTTTTTTTTTTTGAGAAGTTTTTGCTATAGGGCACATGCGCTCTCCAGAAAGACAGAGAGAGACAGAGAGACAGAAAGCAAGAAATCACCCCCCACAGGGGATGGCCACGTCGCAATTCCTTCCCCTCCATTCTCCTTTTGGGATCTTTGGCACGCACACACATGTGCCCAGAGTGAGTTTAAACCACTGGGTCCAGGACTTGAACTGTGGTTGACTACATGGGAGTCCAGCAACATAGCCATTATGCTAACTGCTGGTCCCTTCATATATATTTTTTTTAAGTTTGCTAGAGGGCACGTGTGCTCACTGGAGAGGAGGAGTGAGGGAGGGAAAGTGAAAAAGCAACCCTCCATGGGGATGGCCAGACCACAATCCCTTCTCCTTTACTTCTCCTCTCAAGATGTTGCACATACACGCACATGTACTTGGCATGTTTTCCAAGCCACCTAGTCCAGGACTTTAACCACACTGTTGGCCATATGGGGATCCAGTCACCCTAATCAGCATACCATCAGCTGGCCCAGCCTTTACACTGAAACTAAACTACCTCGATATATGCTAACCAGGTAGACAATCTCTCCTCTCATACCAAAAAGCTGTTAGGACTAATTGTCAGTGTACCTGTGGTGATAAAGACTTCCTCTGTGGATCTGAACTAGTTAATCCGTTGTCCAGATCACAAATAAGGATGAAAATTTTGGAACCAGCAGATAGCATAGCTGGACTCCCATATGACCCACTGTGGTTCAAGTCCTGGACCCAGACACTTGAAACTCATGCCGGGCAAGTATGTGTACATGCCCAAAATCCTGAGAGGAGAATAGAGGAGAAGGGTTGTGGTGCGGCCATCCCCTGGGTGGTTGATTTCTCGCTTTCTGTTTCTCAGTCTCTCTCTGTCTCTATGGTGAGCGCACATATCCTATAGCAAAAATCTACCCAAAAAAATAAATAAATAAATAATAAAAATCTTCATATGGAAATTCAATAGGGAAGGGCCAACTCCACACCATTCATTCATTCATTCAGTCACTCACTCAGTCCTTATTTTACACCAGGTCTCATTCAAGTTTTGGGAATTTAATAAACTACTGAAAGTCCCTGCCATCAAGGAGCTCACATTTCAGCAGATAAATACTGACAGTAAACAAATTTGCAGTAGTTCAAGAGTAATAAAGTGCTACAGAGAAAAACAGGCAGGGAAAAGGGCTACAATTTCAAATAGGGCAGTCAAGGAAAGCCTCATTGAAAAACTGCCATGTTAGCAAAGGCCTAAAGGGGAGGAGAGTAAGGAACATGGGTGTTTGGGGACAGCAGTGAGGCTACATAGACAAACTTCTTTAGCAAATCCAGGTAAAACAAAACATAACTTTTTACCTTTCAAAAGCGGCTGGAAGGTTGGAATCTCTTGCAACTTAATGACATCAGGATCGTTGCTGACATTCCGAGAGGCCTGGGAGCCCTGAGCTACAACCACGATGTCGTCCATCTTGGCTCTATGCTTCGCTGGAGAAGGAGTCACTGAAAATAAAGGCACACAGCTCAAGAGATGCACATCAGTTAGCTACCCTGCCTCGTGTTTTCAGTGTAGTTACTACAGAGAATAATTTACACAGCCCAATGTAGTTATGTTGTAGTGGGGCTAGAGGAAGAGAGATGAATTATGGGAAGGAGGTCTTCATTTTCTATAGTTTTTTTTTTCTTTTTTATAAAAGATATTGGGGGCCAATAGGTGTCATGGTGGTTAAGGCAGTGGACTCCCACATGGCCAAGTGTGGTTCGAGTCCCAGACCTAGTGGCTTGCTTGCTCAATTTCCCTCCCTCTCTCTTCTTTCTCTCTCTCTCTGGCGAGTGCATGTGCCATTCAGAAAATTTAAAAAATTAATTAAGTAAACAATTCTTTTTAAAAAGGCATTACAGGAACATATAACACATATGAACTTCTTTTAGAACTAAATATACACGGAGGCTTCCAAAAATTCATGAAAAATTCAAATCAAAGCATATCCACTTATTTTGGTGTGAAGAATGTTGAAATCCATGCAATTTTTTTTGGGGGGGGGAGATTTTTCCGCTATAGGGCGCGTGCGCTCGCCAGAGACAGAGAGACAGAAAGCGAGAAATCACCCCCCCCAGGGGGGATGGTCACACCGCAATCCCTTCTCCTCCATTCTCCTCTTGGGATCTTGGGCGTGCACACACACATGCCCAGCGTGAGTTTTAAGCCACCAGGTCCAGGACGCAAACCGCAGTTGACTACGTGGGAGTCCAGCGACATAGCCATTACGCTAACTGCTGGTTCCCAATCCATGCAATTTTTTCATAATATAGATTTCCCATAAATTTTTTGTAGACTATTCATATACTTTCACAGAAGTATAGGCAGATTGTGGTTTTTTAAATTTTTTAATAAAATTATTTAATTTTATTTATTCATTCACTCGTTTTAATTTGACCAGAGGGAAAGTAAGCCACCAGGTCCAGGACTTGTACCATGGTCAGCCATGTGGGAGTGTCCAACACCTTAACCACCACGCCACCTGCTGGTCCCAGCAGACTGTGTTTTCAATCTCTCCTTTGATTCTCCCAATCTTCCTAACACATGGCCCTGATTTACAAATGAGGCAATGAGAGTACGAAATCTGGCTGTGACTCCCCCAACGTGAACAATGCTGTAGTTAGGAAAGGAATTGGAGGCCTGTGGATTGGTTGGTACGCATGGCCCGACCTGGGACTCCGGGACTGCAAAGCTGTCCATCCCCCTTGCTACAACAGGCCAGGTGTATTTAATAAGTCTAGTCACAGGCAAACTCCCTGGTCTCAACCAGATGATCCACTAATTCTGAGGCTCCAGCTCTCTCGTCCTTAAAGGTGCAGCATTAGTTCAAGAAGGACAAAAATAGTAAGTAGGCCCATTCTGGGCTGAGGCAAGTCAAGGAAAGCCTCATTGAAAAACTGCCATGTTAGCAAAGGCCTAAAGGGGAGGAGAGTAAGGAACATGGGTGTTTGGGGACAGCAGTGAGGCTACATAGACAAACTTCTTTAGCAAATCCAGGTAAAACAAAACATAACTTTTTACCTTTCAAAAGCGGCTGGAAGGTTGGAATCTCTTGCAACTTAATGACATCAGGATCGTTGCTGACATTCCGAGAGGCCTGGGAGCCCTGAGCTACAACCACGATGTCGTCCATCTTGGCTCTATGCTTCGCTGGAGAAGGAGTCACTGAAAATAAAGGCACACAGCTCAAGAGATGCACATCAGTTAGCTACCCTGCCTCGTGTTTTCAGTGTAGTTACTACAGAGAATAATTTACACAGCCCAATGTAGTTATGTTGTAGTGGGGCTAGAGGAAGAGAGATGAATTATGGGAAGGAGGTCTTCATTTTCTATAGTTTTTTTTTTCTTTTTTATAAAAGATATTGGGGGCCAATAGGTGTCATGGTGGTTAAGGCAGCTGGATCCCACATAGCCAACTATGTGGTTGGAATCTTGGCTTGCTTGCTCAATTTCCCTCCCTCTCTCTTCTTTCTCTCTCTCTCTGGCGAGTGCATGTGCCATTCAGAAAATTTAAAAAATTAATTAAGTAAACAATTCTTTTTAAAAAGGCATTACAGGAACATATAACACATATGAACTTCTTTTAGAACTAAATATACACGGAGGCTTCCAAAAATTCATGAAAAATTCAAATCAAAGCATATCCACTTATTTTGGTGTGAAGAATGTTGAAATCCATGCAATTTTTTTTGGGGGGGGGAGATTTTTCCGCTATAGGGCGCGTGCGCTCGCCAGAGACAGAGAGACAGAAAGCGAGAAATCACCCCCCCCAGGGGGGATGGTCACACCGCAATCCCTTCTCCTCCATTCTCCTCTTGGGATCTTGGGCGTGCACACACACATGCCCAGCGTGAGTTTTAAGCCACCAGGTCCAGGACGCAAACCGCAGTTGACTACGTGGGAGTCCAGCGACATAGCCATTACGCTAACTGCTGGTTCCCAATCCATGCAATTTTTTCATAATATAGATTTCCCATAAATTTTTTGTAGACTATTCATATACTTTCACAGAAGTATAGGCAGATTGTGGTTTTTTAAATTTTTTAATAAAATTATTTAATTTTATTTATTCATTCACTCGTTTTAATTTGACCAGAGGGAAAGTAAGCCACCAGGTCCAGGACTTGTACCATGGTCAGCCATGTGGGAGTGTCCAACACCTTAACCACCACGCCACCTGCTGGTCCCAGCAGACTGTGTTTTCAATCTCTCCTTTGATTCTCCCAATCTTCCTAACACATGGCCCTGATTTACAAATGAGGCAATGAGAGTACGAAATCTGGCTGTGACTCCCCCAACGTGAACAATGCTGTAGTTAGGAAAGGAATTGGAGGCCTGTGGATTGGTTGGTACGCATGGCCCGACCTGGGACTCCGGGACTGCAAAGCTGTCCATCCCCCTTGCTACAACAGGCCAGGTGTATTTAATAAGTCTAGTCACAGGCAAACTCCCTGGTCTCAACCAGATGATCCACTAATTCTGAGGCTCCAGCTCTCTCGTCCTTAAAGGTGCAGCATTAGTTCAAGAAGGACAAAAATAGTAAGTAGGCCCATTCTGGGCTGAGGCACAATTCATAAACTTGGAGGACTGCTAGAGTCATGTCAATTTCAGGTTCTCTAGAAAAACAGGAACTACCTGGACGGAAGTACTTCAAACTATAAGGACTCCCTAGATCAAGGCATCCTCCTCCCCCAAATATCTTCCTGGTTAGGGCAAGAATGAATCTTCAAGTGTTTTATCCTCTAAATGGTAGTATTCTCAGACTTGTCATAGATATGACTCAGAAGTCGTCCAGAGAGGCCACAGAGTTGCTCTGCCTCCTGGGAGCTAAAGTCTCCTGAGACTGGGTGTTCACTCTTTCAGAAAACTCTCTTACTGATCTTCAAGAATAATTTCTTACCTCTTTTGGTAACTCACCTAACATTTTACAAAAGCATGCCACAAATCTTTCCTGCCACAAAGTAAGTGTGAGTTCTTCCCTAGAGAAAGGGGACTTCATGACACTCCAGCTAGCACCTATTACCTCTCTTCCTTTATCTGTAAAATGAGGTTACTGTAAGGATTCAATGTAAATATATGGAATGCACTTGGCACCAAAGAATAGGCAAATTCTTTTATTTATTTATTTATTTATTTATTTATTTATTTGGAGAGGTTTTTCGCTATAGGGCGCATACGCTCGCCAGACAGAGAGAGACATAGAGACAGAAAGCAAGAAATCACCCCCCAGGGGGGATGGTCACGCCACAATCCCTTCTCCTCCATTCTCCTCTTGGGATCTTGGGCACGTACGCACACGCGCCCGGTGTGAGTTTTAAGCCACTGGGTCCAGGACATGAACCGCTGTCGACTACATGGGAATCCAGCGACATAGCCATTACGCTAACTGCTGGTTCCCAGAATAGGCAAATTCTAACAGCAGAAATGAGCATATGTGGGGGGACCAGCAGGTGGCATGATGGTTAAGATGCTAGACACTCCCAAATGGCCGACCACGCTTCAAGTCTTGGACCTGGTTGCTGGCTTTCTCACTTTCCCTCTTTCTGTCTCTCTCTGGTCAAACTAAAAAGAAATGAATGAATAAATGAAATTAAATAAATTTAAAAAGAAAAGAAATGCAGCTAGTTTACAGATGAGCAAGCACATAAAATACCATGCCCCTCCCCCCCACAATATGCTTCTGGTCTGACATTAGGACAGAAAAGATGTAGTAATGATTACTGATTATCATATTTGATATAATAGATACAACACTGGGTCTAGCAGAAATAAAAGAAGGTAGCGGAGTTAGTAAATGCTGCTCACTATGAAAAGTTAGTCTAATTAGCTCCCAGGATACAGGTCTGAACTAGTCTGGCAAGTCACACTTCAGTGTGAAACACGCCTAGAGCTTCTACATTTCTGAAGTACAGACCCTACAAGAACACAGTAGTTCTAAGAACACGGTTTCTTTCTGGGCTCCAGATTTAACCGATTTAGAATAGCAACGGATGAGTTTACGGTGGGGGCACTCCCAGCTGCCCTAGGGTTAACAACAACAAAAAACGGGCAAATGGTCCTCAGTTAAACATCAGCTGTTTTATTGAGTGTGAGCATTATATTTCAAGAACAAGAACCCTCCCATGACCCCCTCAAATGCTGACAGAAATCTGAAATATATGGACGCGGGGCGGGGAGGGTTGTGGGAACAGAGGAAAACAGCAGGGTCTGCAGTGCGGCCTGTTTCTCTATCAGAAAGATGCTCAAGACAGCTTAGAAGAGAAAAAAGCTGTTTCCGCAGATGCTTGCACCCAAGGGCTCGAAGCGAGTGTTCGGCTATCACAAACCCTTTCCGAAGAACCTCTCAAACCCGATTTTAGAGCGAGCCTGTTCTTAGAGCTCCGGTCTATGACCCATCCGCAGCGCCAGCCAAATCTCACTACGTTAGGACCGCGGGAGCCAAAAATGACGTCGCCTTGCAGAGCAGGCTGCAGGGGAGAAACGG